TATAGTATAGATATAGATTAGAATAGGAATAGTTTGCAGAATTATTGTACGAATGGGAAACTATAAATCAATATATTTTGTTAGGAAGATAGATTTTTTAGGAATTGGACGAGAAGTTAAAATTTCAGGATTTTGTTATTATATATGGTATAGATTGATTGATTGATTATATTACAATAGGAATTGTATTACACTATTTTATAATATTACAATAGAATTTTAACGCAAAATTATTGTACGAATGGGAAAGTAGAAATCAATATATTTTATTAGGAAAAGAGATTTTTTAAGAATTGGGCGGGAAGTTAAAATTTCAGGATTTTGTTATTATATATAGTATAGATAGTATAGATTGATTGATTGATTATATTACAATACGGATTGTATTACACTATTTTATAATATTAGAATATAATTTTAACGTAGAATTATTGTACGAATGGGAAAGTAGAAATCAAAATATTTTGTTAGGAAGAGAGATTTTTTAGGAATTGGGCGGGAAGTTAAAATTTCAGGATTTTGTTATAATATATAATATAGATATAGATATAGATAATATAGATATAGACATAGATAGTATAGATTGATTGAATGATTGATTATATTACAATAGAATTACAATAGGAATTGTATTACACTATTTTATAATATTAGAATAGAATTTTAACGCAGAATTGTTGTACGAATGAGAAAGTAGAAATCAATATATTTTATTAGAAAGAGAGATTTTTTAAGAATTGGGCGGGAAGTTAAAATTTCAGGATTTTGTTATTATATATAGTATATAGATTATACCAAATTATAGTACCCAACCTAAAAGTAATTTGTTTAAAAAAAAAAAAAACCTAAAAATAATTCATTTCTATTGATTTAAATATTAATGTGAAGCTATAATATTTCAACATACTTTTGTATATGTAAAATGTTTGTTTAAAAGTTTAATTTGAACTTTTAATTGTTTAAATAAATATATTATAATTTTTAAAAGGCTTATTCATGGAAAAAAACAATCAGTCCTTTACACTTTGTTACGATTATATTCAGACATTTAAATATGACAATTTAATACTAAACATTTACATTTTGTCCACGGACAACACTGTTTGTGAAGATAAGGGGGCCGTGTCGAGGGGCGTTGATGAGGTGGAGGCGAACCGGGCGAAGCTAGGGGGAGGGGACAGAGAAGGGATGCACGGGGAAATTGTTGAAGTAGAGGGGAAGGAGGAAATCAGTTGGGGGAGGGGGCAGAGAATTTATACATTGTAGTATCTGTTCAAACATACTTTCTCAACCTAATGAAGCACAAAGAGTCAACATACTTTCTCAACCTAATGAAGCACAAAGAGTCAACAATGTCTCCACTGAGGCTCAATCTCATGACCTCCCATATGAGAGAGGTTACTACATGCCATTTGAGCACAAGATGCTTGGCGGTGGGCTTATTTCTATACTTCTCCTAGTTATTATTATTTAATAACTAGAGGAAGTGGGGGACTTATGATGGGGTTATTGGGTAATGGGCCTATATTTTATTTTGCTTCTAATTGGTTGGGGCCAGGCCCAAAGGAGGAAGGGTGCAAAGTGGGAGGTAGGGTGGTGCAAGGCCGAAAGGGTGCAAGCTAGGAGGTGGGGCGGTGCGCAGAATCCTGGAGGAAGGGGGGGGGGGGGGGGGGGGGGGAAGGGGCGCTGAATGCCATCGAGGCGCCGGTGGGCGTAATCGCCGCCCGGGCTGATTGCGCCTCTGGCGCTCCGGAGATGTGGCTAGTGCGCCAGCCCCCCTTGGGGCGCGGGCGCCTGTCACGCCTAGGCATGGACGCGTGTTCCACTCTGCTTTTCTTGCGGGGTGTTCGTGGAGTGTTTGGATACGTGGCGCCCGGTGGGTGGATGGAATGTTGAGACGGTTGCACGACAAGACAACGTGGGATGCGTGTCTGGGGAGGGTATTGTCCATGTAAAGCATTCCTTAGACAATGATCTACTTGCTAGCCCAGTGGTCTATGTCCTCCCTCCCCACCCCCCCCCCCCCCCCCCCCCCCCCCCCCCCCCCCCCCCCCCCCCGCCCCTCACCTGGTGTGTCCGGGTTCATGTCTTAGTGGTAGCATAGTTGAGTTATTTTGTTATTTTTATTCATTAGTCCTTCACTTATTTAGTTATTTATTATTTGAGCCATCGTTTTGGGCCTGTGCTCTTGGGCTTTGTACATGTCTCTATTGGGCCTCACGCCCGATAATAAAAATATCATTTTCATGTCATGTTCAATACTGTTATGCCCGGTTTATGGTGGACCCGGTCTAGATAAAACCTGCAACACTCAATATGTGAGACTTGCTATTCAGTTTCATTTTATACACGATATAGTTTCATTACGCCACCACTAAAGTATCATTATTATTCAACTACAATTTCATTTGACAATATACACTCAATATGTGAGACCTGCTATTCAATTTGTTTCTATACATTGTAGTTTCATTACAACACCAGTAAAGTATCATTCTAATCTAATTATAATTTCATTTGACAATATACACTTAATATATGAGACATACTATTTAGTTCCATTTTATACACGCTTTAATTTTATTACATCACTAAAAAGAACACGCCATAGAACATAATGGTGGTTGTTTCTTTTCATTAAAAGAAAAGACACAACATTGGATCATGGTAACTGCATAACGATCGATATATATAATCACAACAAAATTTAAAGGTTTTTTTTTTTTTTAACCAATAAACCATTTAAGAAAATAATGTTGTGTGTAATTATTCACGGAGTAAATAATTGATGCACAAACTCAAGCAATTATGTTTGGTATTAATTTGTCAAAGTTTGAAGGTTTTAATATAATTATTATGCATAATGGGGTATAGTTGTTACAAAACACAAAGATTTAAATTTTTTGCTAAGTTTTAAAAATTTAGATATAATTTTCACAAACCATAAAGGTTTGAGTTTTCACTAATAAGCCTTTATTTTATATTTTTTTTTATTCAAATAACACTATTTGCTAATATTATTGATAATTTAATTTTATAATACTTAATTTAATATTAGTAAATAAAATTTATATTAACAAAAAAAGGAAGAAGGAGGCATACTTCCCTCCTAAAACTTCTATTATACAAAAAAATTAAATATAAAATTTATTTAAAATTTGTTAAAGAAAAAAAGGTAAAAAAGAATAATTAGTTTACCCAACGAATAAGAAATAAAATATATAAATGAAAAATGTGAAAGTTTGTTACTTTCTCACTAATTTCCATGGAATATATTTGCTATGAACAATTTTGTTGAGAAAATTAATTAATAAATTTGGTATTATTTTAAAATATAACAATTACATTTTTTAAAAAAGATATTGAAGCATTTAATTTATTTAAACTTTTCATGAAATATTTTAGTAACTAGTGTTAGTTAAGTTACGTGTAGGGCCTACGTGAATATGTACTAAACTTATGTGCATGTAACATGATTTAGAAGAAAATATTTTAGTAACTAGTGTTAGCTAAGTTACGTGAATATGTACTAAACTTATGTGCATGTAACATGAATTAGAAGAAAAAAAAAAGAGTTGGATAAGAAATCAATATCTGATAAAATTTGGGTAGCTTATAAGACAGTGAAATTTGGTCTGTAATTACGCAAAAAGCAAGATCGTAAATGAGCATTGCTTCGATGCAGCAAAGTGCGTGCGTTCCACTTCACCTCTCTTGCCAAAAAAAAAAAATTGAATCTTCAATCTCACAAAGTATTTAAGAAGATATAAATTACACTAATTTAATAACTCAATAGATATAATCAAATATCAATGAGCATAAAGTATTTGTCCAGTTTAAACATATTGACCTGTCAAATTTCAAAGCTCTCACGTCCGACCCAACAAAACATTTAGAATGATATAAATCAAAAAAATTCTATATCTAGCTACCAACGTCAAATGTCATAGCTTCTACCAAATTTCAAGCTTTAATCTTTTACCTCAAATACTGCATACTGAATCAGTAAGGTAAGTATTTTCAAAAAAAAATCAGTAAGGTAAGTCACTCGCTTCTCTATACAAACACAAAACATTTGGTTGAAAGGAAAGAATTATGAGAGAAAGGAATCGTAATTCGGTGGGGAAAAGAATAAAGTACGAATTCAAATTACATTGTTGGGTAGAGAGAAATAAAATTATTTGAATTGAGAAGAAAAGAAGTGGTATAAAGACTAAAATACCCTTATGTAATAATAATAGTAATAATAATCCAGGGTAGTAGTGTCATTTCATATCCTTTTCCTTTATCAAATCCATTGAATTGCAATTCATGGATTTACCCCATGAATTGCAATTCAACATTTGGAGGGAATTGCAATTCCCTCCAACCAAACCGCTTAATTGGGATTTATACAAAATTGCAATTCAGTTACATCCAAATTACTTCCAACCAAATAAGCACTAAGATTACAAGAAAATTAAGGGTGTGTTTGGTTGGTGGGTTTTGCACATAGGAATGGGTATGAAAGTGATTGTTGTTGTTTGGTTGATAGGTTTTTAGAACATTACTATGGGTTTCGAATATCTCATCAATTGAAAAACCCATACCCAAATAAAATAAGGGTTTCATTCCCTTATTCATTCTCAAGCACTACTATTAGTAACCATTCTCATTCCACCCTACTACCAAACATGTTAAATACTTTCACCAAAACTCATTACCATTACCAAGTATTTGATACCCATTCCGATTCCGATTCCTATGTGCGAACCAAACACATCCTAAAAGTTGCACCAAATTACTCTTTCATGTGGAAGATTATGGGTTCGAGCCTAGTGAAAACAGTATTGAATCTTTGTGTTTCAGTAGATTGAAAAAGTAATAATAAACAAATCCTGTATTCTAACAAAGTCATTACACTCATTAGTAAATAAAAATGAGAAGCTGAAAAATGCAGCACAACCAAATCAAATTTTCATTTCTTGTATAATACGGAGTAATATAAATATATAAATATATAGTTGGTAGGTAAACTCAAGATTCTTCTTCTTCATCTTCTCCTTCCTCCTCTTCTTCTTCTGTGCGCTGCTATCTTCCACAATTCAAATAAAGATTCCTCAGAATTCTATTTTTGTTGATTCAATAAATCTGGGAGATTGATTGATGGATGCCCTTCTGTGCGATGAACTTCTCCAAGAAATCTTCCGTCGCCTTCCACCTTCATCTTCCGCCGCCGTCTCTCTGGTGTCCAAGCGGTGGCTTAGTCTCCTCCGCTCTTCCACCACCTCCCTCTCTCTCCTTTTACATCAACCTCATGTTTCTCCGGCCCTCTCTTCTTTCCTCTCTCAGCATCCCTATCTATCTGCTCTCTCCGTCAACGCCGCCGCCTCCTCCACAGCTGCCTCCGATCATGTCATTCGCTTAGTCGCCTCTTCTTGCCCAAACCTCTCCCATCTCCGATTCTTGGCCGGCCCAGTTTCTCCTTTCTCTCTCTTCTCTCTCTCCTCTTCTTGTCCACGCCTTTCTTCTCTGGATGTGGCTCTCTGCAGACCCCTCTCTTTCCTTTGGCTTGCCCCTTTCGAGAATCTCAAACGCCTCTCCGTTCAGTCCGTCGCGAATTCGTCTGACTCTGAGTATCTCAAGTTCGGGAATAGTAATTTATTGGATGAATTTCCCGATTCTGAACTGAACTTAGAGAGCCTGTGCTTGTCCGGAATTGGGTCGGGAGATTATGGGCTCACTTGGGTGTGGAGAAATTGCAGAAAGATCAAAACTTTGAAGCTGAAAAGGTGTGAGGGCGTGGGAGATAACGCTTCTTTTTCTGGGTTTCTTCAGCGCCTGGAAGGCCTAGAAGAAGTGGAACTGAGAAGTTGCAGGCCCATAGCCAATGGGGTTTTGTTGAAATTGGCAGAGAATTGTGTTTCTTTAAACTCATTCTTGCTTCACGATGGTGGAAGCAAAGATGGGTTACTCCAATTCATCACAGAAACCAAGTGTTCTTTACAAAAACTGGATTTCCGCTTGCCTCTTGATCTTGACAACCGCCATTTGAACGCCATAGCTGAAAGCTTCAGAGGCTTAACCATTCTTAGGCTCCAAAGCTGCTGCCTTGTCACAGGTGAAGGGCTGAGGAGGGTTGGGAGGGCAGTTGGGGGTGGGGTGGATGAGCTGGCACTGGTGAACTGTGATGTGGTGGAGAGAGAATCTGGGTTGCTGGCAACACTGGGACAAAACATGAAGAGATTGAGGAAACTGGACCTGTCTTATAATGAGATGTTGGTTGACAAGGAGTTGATGTCAATGCTGGTGTCTTGTAATGGTTTGAAGGAATTGAGGTTGAGGGGTTGTAATAGGCTAACAAATGTGGCCATGGCTTCCATGACTAAGAGCTGCAAGGGATTGGAGAGGGTGGATATCATGAATTGTTGTGGGATTGAAGCTGAGGCTGTGGAGCAGTTTGTGGTGAATTCTGCAGCTTTGACACACCTCCAAGTGGAGGAGACTAAGCTTTCTAGTGTTGCTATAATGTGGGCATCAAATCATTTCATTCAACTTATTTAATTGTTTTGGGTGTAGCCGAGCTTGACGTTTGGTTAAGGATGGATGAATCTCTTCCACTCAGTCATAGTCCTTAAGTTACTTATTTAATCATTTATGTGTATCCTTCTTCCAAATGGTTCAATTTCATATCTTTAAGGGTTTTCTACTTTTTGGGGCTCGACAAAGCATGTGGAAGAAGATAGATCACGGTAATTCAGTGACTCAGTATACAAGACTAAATGTCAGTGCATACAAGAGATTGCTGTTGAGTTTCGAATATTGGTCTGATTTGTATCCTTTTGTTACATGTGAATATGTGATTGATATAGTACAAGAGAGGTTGTGATACTTATGCTGTAAGTACGTTTCAAAAATAAATGTGGAATTGCAGTCAGATGCAAGTAATCTTTGTTGTATTTATTTATTATAAAATGCGCACATTAACATTATATTGGATCATTATTAATTATTAGTGTCGTTTTTTTGTTTTGATTATATGTACATGGAGAGGTAATAATGTGATGTGGACTTGAACTCTATTTGAAACAACCATTAGAAAGTAATAATTGCACTACTTCGTTTACATAAAAAATAATTGCACTACTTCCCGTCTTCCTATGAGACTATTTCACATATTCTTATACAGACCGAGTCATGATAAAAATATACGGGTAAAAAATGTAATACTAATCATTAATAAATTATTTGTTACTTATAAAGAAAAATGTAATATTTTAAAGAAAAAATATAATACTTTTAAATTAAAATGTACTCTCTCAGTCTCATTTTATCTGTCTTACTTACTATTTCATTGGTCAAACCAACTCATTTTTTTTTCTTTGCTTATTTCTATTAACATTTTTTTTATAACTTTTAAATTTGATTTTTTGTGTTTAATAGTACTTTTAATATCATTTCTAAATATATAAATTTTACATACTAATTCTAAACTTAATATTATGAAAAATCAAATTGCAAATAATTTCAGTCAAGCCTCATTAATTGAAATCGACACATAAAATGAGACAGAGGGAGTAATATTTAGAGTTGAATAATTATGAGAACAAATGTAATAGTAATTATAGATAAATTGTTTAATTGTTACTTATGAGAAAAAGTGTAATACTTATGATGAAAATGTAATACTTTTAATTACAAATGTAATATTAAGAGTTAAAGAATTATTTATGATGAAAACTGTAATATTTATGTGAACATTGTAATATTTATGATGAAAACTGTAATACTTATGAGAAGAGGGATACACATATTGCTATTTATAAAGTAAAATGTACTCCGTAATACTTATGAAAGAAAATGTAATACTAGTAAGGGATAGATTGATTGTTACCTATGATGAAATGTCTAATACTTTGAGTTAAATTGTGTTACTCTGATTATTTAGGGTAAATTGATTGTTTCTTATATTGATATTGTACTACTTATAATTGAAATTGTAATATTTATGATTGAGACAATATACTAATAAAAAAGTATTACATGTTTGTTAAAAGTGCTACTTTTCTCTAGAAAAATATTGCAATCATTTTTGTATAATAAGGATAGGAAATACATAAAAAGTTTTATTATTATTTAAAAAAAGAGAAATACCTTATTTTAAAATTACTAATTTTAAATTAAAAGTATTAATTTTTATATACATTTGATATGTATTAGTTTTAAAAGTTGGAAAATGCTTCTTACCCGTCTTGAATTTCACTTCCTAGATTTCCCTTCTGATGTGGCTTCCACTTATTGGGTGTCATGAATTGGTTAATCCACCATTAAAAAAAATTAGTAACCAATTAACTAATAACACATCATGAATGATGGATTGGAGGGAAAAAAATACGTTTTTTTTTTTAAATAGTAACCAATTAACTAATGACACATCATGAAGGATAGATCAGAGAAAAAAAATATATGAAGGGTATCTACCCTGACTCTACTAGGTTATCAATTGAGGATTAAAATAATAACATTTCATTTGGAAGAGTCACTTCGTGCCATTAGACCACAACGTCATTAGTATCTAACATTACTCTTAAAAGTATTAGTTTTACAAAAATTTAAATAAAAATAATAGGTATTATTAAAATCTTTCCTCATAAATGATTTAAACCCAGACGTTTTTTAAAAAATAATAGGCATTATTAGAATCTTTCCTCATAAATGATCTGAACCCAGACGTGGATTTGGATTAGTTGGTTTGCACCAGACATTTTAATACTGCTAATAGAAAAATACATTTGAAGCGTCGACAGCAGGATTCGAACCTGCGCAGGCAAAGCCCAACAGATTTCGAGTCTGTCTCCTTAACCACTCGGACATATCGACGCTTGTTAACTTTGGAAGGATATTACTTTTAAATACAGATATCAGGGGACCTTTGGATAAAGAGACAGATCGAAATGCAAAAAAACATTTGAAACGTCGAAAGCAGGATTCGAACCTGCGCAGGCATAGCCCAACAGATTTCGAGTCTGTCTCCTTAACCACTCGGACATATCGACGCTTCGTTTACTTTTCAAGGATATTTACTTTAAATATGGGAGGTATGACTGTTTCTATTGTTTTTTTTGAAGGTGTGTCTATTGTTTAATTATTCACCTCATGACTAACTATGGTTATGTCAATTTTAGATGTTATAGATTACTAATGTCCTATGTGCAATTGAGAGATAAATTTAAAGGCTAAAAAAATCTTAGGACGATATTACAGGGAAAGTGTTTCAATTTTTTCTTTGTACATTTTATTTTGTCTAATTCTTCTTCATTCATGTAAGATTTGTGTACAACTGTACAATATTTTTTATGTGTTGGAATAAAGTTATACATAGTATTATTTATCTTTTTTTTTTTTTAATGCTACTGTGTTGGGGAAGTAAATATTGTTTTGGTTGTTGTTCCACTTTCGAGGGTGGAAATCCTCCAGAAAAGAAATATGAGGGAGAAACAGATTAATTAGAGTTCAGAGAGGGAAGTTTTGATTCAAAGGGTAATGCCCTGTACTTTATTTCTCATGCTCAATAAATATTGAATTTACAAATAACGGCTTCCTAATTATCCGAGATTTATTCCGCACTACTAACAACCATAAAGAAATGCAGTAGGAAATAGTCAAATGAAACAAACATGCATGCATGACTAACTAACAACAATTATTTTTATCCACAAACATAATCACGAAGCTTGACTGATGGAGTAATTAATCTTGAAATCCTCCTTTTGTTACCACCTTCTCCATGCATGCTCTTATTCGTAACATTACCCACCCCATCTAAAGGAGCCTTATCCTCAAGGCGGATATCAGGGAATGAAGCATGAAAAAGATCCCAATTCTCCCAAGTTGCTTCTGAAAGTGTAGTATGATCCCAATGGACGAGCACTTGATGTACCTTCTTACCATTTTCCTTGACAATTCCTCTGGCCAAGAATGCTGAGTGGAATTGGGAATTGATCTGCTGAAGGTGGGGGATGCAGTGGGATAGCACTAGACGGATTTGGACAGAACTTAAGAAGAGATATGTGAAACACTGGGTGAATGCGTGCAGTGTCTGGCAACAATAATTTATAAGCAACCTTCCCCACACGTGCAACTATTTGATACGGACCAAAGTAGCGTTTAGCCAATTTATGATTACGTCGCCAAGCAACAGAACTTTGGCGAAATGGTTGGAGTTTTACATAAACCCAATCACCCACGGAAAATTCCTTATCACGCCGATGATGATTAACCTGTTCTCGCATCCTCACTTGAGCCCGTTGCAAATTCAGTTTAAGATTAGCCAAAAGAGCATCACGATCTAAGAGTGCACCATCGAGAGCTTCCACAGGAGTGCCATCACTAGAGTAGCTGACTAGTGGTGGTGGGGGTCTGCCATAGACAATCTGGAAGGGGGAGAAACCGGTTGAACTATGAACACTGGTGTTGTACCAGTATTCTGCCCAAGGAAGGGTGTTGACCCATTTGGTTGGATAATCACTTACAAAGGCACACAAATACATTTGAAGGCATCGGTTGACTACTTCAGACTGCCCGTCAGTTTGGGGGTGGTAAGATGTACTCGGTTTCAGACTAGTTCCTTGTAGGCGAAAAAGCTCTTTCCAAAATAAGCTGGTAAATAAAGGATCACGATCAGAAACAATGGAGCGGGGAAACCCATGTAGTCTCACATATTCACGGACAAAGTACTCTGCCAATTTTGGAGCAGTCACACCATCTGGTAAAGCACAGAAATGCCCATATTTAGACAACCTATCAATGATAACCCAAATGACACATTTCCCACCTGATTGTGGTAATGAGGTTATGAAGTCCATGGTAATATCTTCCCAAATTTGTGAAGGAATTGGTAATGGCTGCACTAAACCTTTTGGACAAAAATTCTCTGGTTTGGTTTGCTGACAAACCGAGCATGCTTTCACATGCACCTTTGTGTCCTTACGCATCATTGGCCAATTGAAAGTAGCAGCTAGACGGGTATATGTTTTGTGCTCTCCCGAATGGCCTCCAACTAGCGAACCATGGAACAAATGCAATAACTTTTCACGCAACCCAGACTTTGAAGGGACATAAATCCTACCGTCATAATATAATATGCCATGCTTCTGAGAAAATCTCGTGTCAACTGCTTCCCCTGCATTAATAGATTTGAGAATGTCTTGCGCAAATGGGTCTATCTGCAACGCTTCTTTAACCTCAGTTAGAAATGTGGTGGTGGCAACAGTGAGACTCATCAAATTAGTTGTTGCTTCAACAGTCCATCTTGATAAAGCATCGGGACCACGGTTTTTGCACCAGCTTTGTGCTCAATGGTAAACTCGAATCCCAATAATTTAGTTAACCATCGTTGCTGCTCTGGGGTTTGAATGGTTTGGGACAAAAGTTGCTTCAAACTTTGGTGGTCGGTAACGATGGTAAATGGCCGACCTAACAAGTATGGGCGCCAACGTCGCACCGCTGCTGTAATAGCATACATTTCACGGCTATAAGCTGAGGCCGCTTGGTATCGAGGTGGTAACTTCTTACTAAAATATGATATGGGGTTATTTTCTTGCGATAGGATGGCGCCAACTGCACACCCTGAAGCATCTGTTTCCACGGTAAATGGAAGGTCGAAATTTGGGAGGCGAAGAACTGGAGTTTTAGTCATGGCTGCTTTTAGTTTATGAAAAGATTCCTCAGCAACCTCTCCCCAATCAAAACCATCTTTCTTCAATAACTCTGTCAACGGTCCTGCGATCGTAGCATATCCCCGAACAAATCGCCTATAATAGCCTGTAAGGCCAAGAAATCTCCGAACCTCGGTTACTGTCTTTGGTTTAGGCCAATCTACCACAGCTTGGATCTTTGACGGGTTTACCTGAACACCATCAGCTGATACAAAATGTCACAAATATTCAAGTTGGCATTGTCCAAAGCTACATTTAGCAAGCTTCGCGTACAACTGATTTTGGCGAAGTGTTTCAAGAACCATAGTAAGGTGTTGAATATGATCAGAAAGAGAGCGACTATACACCAAAATATCGTCTATAAACACCAAGACGAACTTACGGAGGTACGGATTGAAGATTGAGTTCATAGTAGCTTGGAATGTTGCTGGTGCATTTGAAAGGCCGAAGGGCATCACAAGAAATTCATAATGTCCCTCATGGGTTCTGAATGCGGTTTTAGGAATGTCTGGGGGATGAACACGAATTTGAAAATACCCGCTGCGCAAATCAAGCTTTGAGAATATCACTGCTCCATGTAATTCGTCAAGTAACTCATCTACCGATGGCATAGGGAATCGGTCTTTGATGGTTATGGCATTAAGAGCTCTATAATCAACGCAGAATCTCCAAGTCCCATCCTTTTTGTGGACTAATAAGACAGGTGATGAAAAGGGACTTGTTGATGGTTGGATTATTTTGTCTCGCAGCATTTCCTGGACTAGTCTCTCGATTTCATTTTTTTGGAAATAAGGATAACGATACGGTTTAACATTGACCGGGATAGAGTGGGGTAATAGAGTTATTTTATGGTTTAAAGCTCTATGTGGGGGTAGACCATTTGGTATGCTAAAAACATCGGAGTACTGAGATAAGAGAACTTGGATACCTGGTGATAGTGTGTGGTCAAGTGGGGATGACATGGGTTGCATGGTCAACATGAAGTATTCCTCTATTGCACCAGTTTGCTGCAATCTCATCAACTGGTGGTTAGTAATAGGTGAAACAGAAGGTGTTTGGCTCCCTACCAGTCTAACAGGTCTTCCTCCATGCTCAAACTCCATTGTCAAATCCTTGTGGTTTGTAATTACTTTCCCCAAACCTTCCAACCATTGGACCCCTAAGATAACATCTGCTCCTGAGAACTCCAGAATATGAAAATCAGCAACAAATTGTGCCCCCTGCATAACAAACTCCACATTATTACATGTTCCAATACTACGAATTTTTTCACCATTCCCCACTGCTACTGAGAAGCAAGAGGTTGTGTCAACCGATAAATGGAGGAAACTCGCGATCCTTGGTTGGAGATAATTATGGGAGCTACCGGTATCAATAAGAACTGTAAAGTCATGTTGTTTTATGCTTGCAATCAACCTGAAAGTGCGTGGTCCCATGGACCCAACTAGAGCATGCAAGGAAATTTCCGGTTCAATTTCGGGTTCCATCGTGGTTGGTTCACTTCCGTTCGCCTTAAAATCTTCTTCTTCAACATTGGTTGGCTCAGATGGATCATCGACCAAGAGTAATAGAAACTGTTGTGTACGGCAGCGATGTCCCGGCCTATACCGCTCATCACAATTATAGCACAACCCTTGTGCTCTTCTGCCTTGCATTTCTGAAGCAGTAAGACGTTTGATTGGTAGGGAGGTTTTATGGTTTGTGGGTGGAGGAAGTGGTAGCAGTGGTGGCTGGCCATCATGGCGTTGGTTTAGTGGTGAGTCAGGGATGGTGTTGGTTAGTTTCCAAGTGTTGGGTGTGGTAGGACGATGATATGTTGGTCTAGTGTCTCGAAGCTTGTCTTCGACTAACTTAGCCAAACTTATAGCTTCAGAAAGTGAAGAAGGTTTAAGTAAGGCCAACTCACATTGGATCGCTGGTTTAAGCCCAGAAACGAAACAATCTAACAAGGCTTCTGGGTGCAAGTTATTTACCCGGTTGCTTATGGCCTCAAATTCTGATTGATATGCACTTACTGTGGTTTTTTGGACCGATTTGAAGAGAGTAGCTCGATGATTCACATATGTTGAAGGCCCAAATCTTTGCTCAAGAGTGACCGTGAATGCCCTCCACGAGGAGAGTTGTTGGTTTCTATGCATCCACTGAAACCATGAAAGTGATTGTCCCACCATGTAAAAGCTTGCAACATCTATTTTTTGTTCCTCTGCAGTATCCCAAAGACTGAAATATTTCTCAGCTTGGAATATCCAGTCCAATGGGTTGCTCCCATCAAAGGTGGACATGTCGCAACGAGGAGGTCGTGGTTGTAACACATTTGTGTTCTGGTTCACCATGGTTTGATTGGCGCGAGCCGGTGGCGATGCAGCACCCGGAGAGGTAGACGATGACGCGGTAGGTAGTGTATTGAGATGGGTGATTCTGACCGATAAGTCTGCTATAGCGTTATTGATGGCAGTAGTAAGAGCCTGGTTTTGATCAGCCAAGGCTCGCCGGAGCTCTTCCGTCGTTCGTTGTTGGGATTCCCGGACCTGCTGTATTTGGTCTTCTAGAGCCCGCTGGCGAGTTTGTACGCCTTCATTAGCCATGATACTCTCAATGAAAGCACCAAATTGTTGGGGAAGTAAATATTGTTTTGGTTGTTGTTCCACTTTCGAGGGTGGAAATCCTCCAGAAAAGAAATATGAGGGAGAAACAGATTAATTAGAGTTCAGAGAGGGAAGTTTTGATTCAAAGGGTAATGCCCTGTACTTTATTTCTCATGCTCAATAAATATTGAATTTACAAATAACGGCTTCCTAATTATCCGAGATTTATTCGGCACTACTAACAATCATAAAGAAATGCATAACAACCATAAAGAACATAAAGAAATGCATAACAACCATAAAGAAATGCAGTAGGAAATAGTCAAATGAAACAAACAATCACGAAGCTTTGACTGATGGAGTAATTAATCTTGAAGTCCTCCTTTTGTTACCTCATTCTCCATGCATGCTCTTATTCGTAACATACTGACTTTATTACAGTGTGACTCGATCTCATTCGTAACATACTGACTTTATTACAGTGTGACTCGATCTCGTGACCTCCCATATGGGAGAAGTCACTACATGCCATTTGAGCAAAGGGTGCTTGGTAAATTATTTATCTTTACTATTACAAATTTGTCAAATAATTTCCTACACTTTTCTTTTTATTACAAAGGAATGGGTACACCCATACAAACTATGCCTACAATGCGGCTCGAAACCTAGACCTCCCACATAGGGGAGCAATCCGATACCAGTGGACCACAAGCCACTTGGTATTTCCTATACTTTTCATTGTATCTTCAAAAATATTTCGTCAAATTAAAAATGGTTATTACGCTCTAAAAAAAAAAAAAAAAGACATTATTATTGTATTCTGGGAACAACAAGTATTTTTATATTTCTTAAATATTGTTAAATTGTCATTAGACATCTATTTCAAAATTTATTTTAATATTCAAGTTTTGATTTTGGATGTCAATGCTCATAATGGTTGAATATGGATATTTGATTGTTTTTTCATACTTTTAATATGATGGTTTTTATGTGTATACTCACCTCTACGCTCTAGTACATAATATTAAGTTTAATTATGGAATTTAAATTTATGACATTCTGATTTACAAATTATAACATGGCATACTATTTTGATATTGTTAAAATTTGAAAATTTAGTCTATCCCTCGTAAAGTAAATTTTATGCATCAAAACCTTTTGCATTGGATCTACAACTTGTAACACCATATTAATTAGAGACGAAAATTACACTTGCATTATGACTCAAATGCTAAAATTACAACTTTTCTTATCTGTTATGATTAATTATACATAATATAATTTATTTTAGTCCACATATATTTTTTTATATACTTTGTATAATTAATTATGGTAAAATAAGATCATAAATTAACTACAGAGATTTTGAATCAACATATAGTTTAGTAGTAGTTTTAGATAGAAAATCAAATTATTTACTCTACATATATTTTTAAATAATTTGTTTTCAAAAAAAATAATAATAATAATAATAATAATTTACCATCTCTATCTATCAGTTAGGAATAATTGTAGTATAGATTTAGATGATGTTACAAATATATATTAGCAACTTAGACTCCTCATTCGTATGTATCAAGTCATAAGAGCCTTCAGCAGACCTTAGGAGTTGAAAAAGAGGCTCGGTAGTTGTAAAAGGTTGCCTAAGAGAAGCTTCCTGTGATCACTTTCGATAGACCTCTTATAGTCTAATAAGGTCAATCGGTAGACCCATTTTCAGAACCGGAACCGTGGCCAAGCCTATGACAGTATAATTTCTGGTGACCATAAATCCATTCTCACGTCTAAGTCCATCAGCGAAGTATCTATTAACTTTAACTAATCTGGAATTATTTGAATTTGACCAAACCATAGTTGCACACAAATTAAACAAGACAGACACATCACACATGGGAATAAACGAAATTTTGTACTATCAATAAGGCTCAATTGTTAAACTTGCTTCCATGTGCTTTATTCTGTGGGGCATAAAATATTAAGAAATGATGAAGGATATCAACCATCTGAGAAAACTTATTTAGATTGCAGAATTTGAAGATCAGTATCATTCAGGAATGAAGGCATGACTTTAATGGGTTGAATGATAAAACCAGCTTTCTGGCAATCTTCCTCGAGTTTCTTCACTTGGGATGGACCGTCAGGACAGAATGCAACTACGGCACCTCCACTTCCTGTAAATTTTGACGCTGCACCCACTCTTCGGGCCACTTCAACCATCTCTATGTTCAAGGCACCAAGACACTCGTCCCCGAACATTTGCCTGCAACAACGCCAAGCTAAATCTCATCTCCAACGAAAATATTTTGCAAGTTTGATTCAACTCAAGCAATAAGTAGTCCCAATATGAAAAATGAAATGAGGTAATAAAGCAAGGCTAAGCACCTACTAAAGAACTAATAAAATTTTCAACCTATTCTACATATCATTCTCACCTTCGTAGGTCAAAATTCCGATTCATGAGCTCTGCAAACGTGACATAGTCTTTCCCAAGTAATGCTTTTTGTCCTTGCACAGCTAGTTTTGCAACCTCTTCCATTGATGATATTATGAACTTATCATCATCTAACCACCTCTGACGAACTGTACTGTGGACCTGTATCACAGAAACGTTTTTATCAACTTGTTCAGAGATTATTCTAATCACATCGTTTATTAGCCTCGTAGGAAAAAAGATCTTTCCTAATTTATTTATCTCCCAACTTTCAAACCTTCAAATAAAGAAGCGGAAGTGAGTTATAACACTGACCTTTCCAGAATCACTGGGATTCTCAGCATAGATTAGATGCAAAGGGGGGAGAAGATCAATATCCATGGGTGTATATATTCCATGACCTAACGCATCCATATGCTTCTTGCCAAAATCCTGAAGAAGAGGAAGTACGATTATTCAAGACGAGTTTACGTCATCGCTATGACAAGATTACTTTTGTGTATTACGAGTATGTAAAGATTGCAATCATTGCATACCATGTATACGACACCGCCATAGACCTGTGCCACCCTATCTTGCAAACCAGCCACAATCCCGAGTTCCTTCTCTGCATTGAGGATAAGGTTTGGTCTGACCTCAACTTTAATCAGATGCCTAACGTTGTAAAAGTCGAGGAGGCAACTTAATGCAGCACATACAATAGCACTAGAGCCCGAAAGACCTGTCTGAGATGTAAAAAGTATTGATTTTTCAGTTCTGCTTTGAAATATTAGATAGTCCAAAAATATAACTGTCTATGCAAGTTATAAATCAACAAAGGCCAAAGTTCAAATTGTAGTAGACTAGAAGTAGTCACCACCTGGCGGGGGATGTTAGTATCATATGAAAGCTTGAAATTTCTTTCATGTAGACTGATGTTATTATCCTTGCAGTAATTGTGAAACACCTTACAAATTGCCATAAGCAATCGCACACCTCCATAATAACCTTCACTTTGCAAACGGTTCACCTAAGAGTCAAAGAAATACTTTAGATGAGTTTATATAGATCCAAAGAAACAAAAAACATAAGAATACCAAAGTGGAAGCATATTTTAATAAATTTTCTGTAAACTCTTCTTTGCTAGCATTTTAGCAGAAATAACTTTTAAATTATCAAATTTTCAGGAAAAAAGACACCCAACAAAACCATGCTCAAATCACAAGCAGAATGGACCTTACTAGTTTGAGGTAGTCCAATCATAAAGTGACACTTTCATCTATCAATAATTAGCAAAGAACTTCCTAAGCAATAGACATTATCATAAACAATCTAATATGCCCCGAGGCATAACTCGGTGATCGAAAGCCTCTGAGTGTAGGTCTAGTACCCAGCAATTACCCGGATTCGAATCCTCAATAAGGAGGATCTCAGCCCGAGAAAAAAACAAGACCCTACCTCACTTAGGCACATCCCACAATGAGGGCTCTCTGTGTTTAGGGTTAACCTATAAACAATCTAATACAATCCTCAGTATCAAACACAAAGGTTGAAAAGGGGAGATCAATTTATACATAGATAATTCAGCAATAAGAGTAGACGATTACACAATTCACCAGACAAGTGCAGAGAGAATAAGTTAATAGTCAAAACAAACGAATCAGATCAAGCACATTCCAAATCAATAGCATGAAAAAACGAAATAGACAGAGAGAGAGAGGGACCAGATTGGATAGGGAATTGAAGTGGACGTGATCGTGAGTAGGATGGGGGGAGATGAACAGATCCGGCGAAGGCTCCAAACGCACGGAAGCCCAGAAGTTGCCGAGGCTGAAAGATATGGCGTTGCCGTAATACACATCGCTGGGGTTCCCCAACAGACCCACCCTCGCGTACGCCTTGTGTTCGATCACTTCACTATTGCCACTCTCCATTACTGCTCAATTGCTTGCTCTCCACTGCTGCACACCAAATTGAACACTGTCAAATGATTCAACTCAACTTTATCCTTTATATATATACTGAAAGATTGCTTTACTTAAGTTGAGCTGATTCACCTCAACTTTATCCTTTATATATATAAAGATTGCTCTTACTTAATTTGGGCGATATCCAGAATCTCCGCGTCACGCTGATGAGTCAACTTAAATCCTACTCCGTAATAGTTTAGGTTTTTTCCCAAATTTTGTATGGATCTCTACTTTTACCTCATCATCCAGACTCAATCTCAAAAACTCCTTTTTTCATTAATTTTAAATTTTTTCTCATTTTTATAGACCCATCATTTTACTTTACTATAATTTATTTATTTATTTATTTATTATTATTATTTATAAAAATTATAATTACAATTATTATTTTTATTATATTTAAATTAAACATATCAAATTTAAATAATTTTATAATTATAAATGTTTTAATGTATCCACCTTTAGTTGAAATGATAATTATAAAATTAAATTGTTAATAAATATAATATTTAAAATTAAAATTATATATACTATATGGCTAAAATAGATTATATAAACAAAAATAATTTTATTAAAAAAATAAAAATTGTAGCAACGGCCAAAAGATTAAAAAAGAATAACAAAGCTATATGAACTAGAGTGACCGCCAGCTGGCGGCCACTCTGAGACGCCTCAACTGCCTTTATTTTTTTTAATTGAAAAAAACTAACAAAAATCATATATTTGCAGGGAGATTCAAACCCAAAAAATCAACCGTGCACATTAGTTAAAAACTCAACCTTGGGATTTTTACTATTCCAAAAACTAGGAAAGATCCCCTATTGGTGATGCTCTTAGGATTTATTTATTTATTTATTTTTGTGGCGAGGAAAACACGTAGTCACTCTCATAACTAATCGACTCAAACTAAGGGGACTGAAATTCGAACTCGTAATCTTGTGATTACAGGTTTGCATCCTTGTCCATATTTATTTGTATAGTTATTCCCACGGTAGAAGAATACCCTATTGAGTCAATATCTTTATTTGATTGATTATTAGTTTATTTATAATTTATTTTCTTATAATTAATATAAAAATTATATATTTAAAAATTACATTTAAAATATTATTAACCCACCAAAAAAATTAAATTTAAAAATAAAAAATACTAAAGAATATAAGAAAGAAAAAAGATTTAGTTTGAACAATGCAAATTTTGACTAACTTAATTTTGCTGACATTTACTTGTAAGCTAAAAGTCATTCGAAATTCTCCAAATCTTTAAAAATCATTAAGATTTTATTTAGTAGTCTTCTAAAGACAAACATTAATCTTTCTTTGCAAAGACGGGAGATCTTCTCTCAACAGATAATAAACGAAATATATGAAATGAGACCGAGGTTGTACTTATTTGAGTTAATGTCATTTTTAAAACAGATAATAAATGGAATATATGAAATGAGACTAAAGTTGTACTTATTTGAGTTAATGTGATTTTTAATCTTCTAAATAAGTAAATATACAGACTTGGTCATTTTTAATTTTCAACTTTACAATCAACCAATTTTGTTCTTCAAAGTAATAATTTTTACCACTTTTGATCATCTGATAAATGTTTTTGAGATACGACCAAAAACATTATTTCATTATCCAATGACCCTAAATCATCTCATATTTAGAATTGAAACAAAATTATATCATCCTAAATTGTTCCACCAGACATCACATCATGAAATGTATTCACCATGATTTACATCCTCCCAAATGCTCTGTCGGGCGGGGTGTGGGGGTCCTTAGGGTTGGGGTTCAACCTTTTGGAAGAATGAAATGTATTCTTGTTATATTTTTTTTAATATGAGATAGTTTAAGCTTCTTTTTTCTTTGAATTTGGGAATTGAGATGCTTTTAAGGGAATTTGATAATGAAATTACATTTTATCATCTCTCAAACGGTCATTTCACAAAAAAAAAAAAATAAATAAATAAAATAATCTATTAGAGAACTTAAAGTGGCAAAAAAGTTAATATTTGGAAGATAAAAAATGATTAGTTTTAAAGTTCAAGATTAAAATTAAATTGACAAAGTTTATACTTTGACGGTTCACGGGAGGCGCTGAGCTGAATTAAAAGGAAGGGATGACGGAGGGTGATGGTGGAGCTGGAAACTGATGCACAGGTGGTGACGAGAGTGGTGGACCGAGGTGCATAATATCTCGTTTGGGGACCTTATTCATAATATTCGAACGAGTAAATATCCAAAATGGTCCCTCGACTATAGCTAAATTCACAAATTGGTCCTCAACTTTCAATTTCACCCAATTAAGTCCTTAACTTTGTAATTTTAACACAATTTGGTGCTCTGTCTATTTAACCGTTTGTTGACTGTGATTTTTGAGGATATATATATAATTTCATGGTCCATCGTCGGTTTTTTAAGGTTCCGGTTACATTTTCAGACCGCACTGTTACATTTGAATTCACTGTCGAAAGCAATCTACCAAACCCGGTCACCTTCTTCATCCTCCCTTTGGATTCAATGTAGTTGAATTCGTACCAGAGCGAAGAAGACGACGTGTTTCCGAACCGGTGCAACGTCATCCTAGAGGCCTCCACGTGCTCCGACGAGAGCTGAAGGTTCTTCTGGAGATCGTCGATCACGGTCAACAAACGATCAATTAGATGGAGGACCAAATCGTGTCAAAATTGCAAAGTTAAGGACTTAATTGGGTGAAATTGAAAGTTGAGGACCAAATTTAGCTATAGTCGAGGGACCATTTTGAGTATTTACTCTATTTGAACCTTGTTACAAGATTTGGATTCGGTCTTTCTTTTGTTTGTGCACCGAGGTGGAAATGCCCAGCCGCATAATATGGCACGAAGTTCTCTTAGAAATCACGGTTTTGAGCTTTCTAAGTATTTTGATTATATTTCGTGTTGTATTTCGGGATGTATGTGTTAAATAATCCTTTATGCACTATAACTTAAATGCAGAAGCACAATTAACCAAGATCGCATGTAAATTAAATCAATCAACTAAACAATGTTCATGATCATGGATTTTTAATTAAACAGAAGTAAAGATAGAACTTACTTGTTCCGTTGGAGATGTAATCTTTAAATTGATTGAATTAATAATATAATGTTTCACCTCTCTGATCCGTATACTTTAATCACCTCTTGATGATATGGAGACTAGAAAACTATTAAGATCCCTAGAGTTTTCCTGGGTATTTATAGATGTGATGAGAAACCTTTTTCAAGAGAAATGAGGAACATCCTCTAGAAATAGAAATCCCTTTAGAAATGTGACCCCCTTTTAGGAATATAAATCCCTTTAGGAATGTGACCTCCTTTTAGGAATAGAAATCCCTTTAGGAATGTGAAACACATAACCTTTTTTCATTATACATCTTTTAACCCTTATAAACTTAAATTTTAACCGAATGAGAGGGAGGGAATTTCACCAAGTAATTCCGCCTTTACACATCACTAATTATCAACGTGAGTACCTTATTCAATTACAACTTTTATTATATAAATCATTGTTAGAATTATTTCTTACAGTATGAAGCTCATGAATTAATATATCTTGTTTTCTTGGTTTAAAAAAAAAAAAAAAGTATACTTTGAGAATTAGATATGGTATTAACTTAGTACAATAAAGATTTTATTATTACATTTAATAATAAAATATTAAATATTAAAAATGTACTATATTTAATAATAAAATATTAAATATTAAAAATGTACTAAACATATTATTATTATTATTATTATTATTATTATTATTATTATTATTATTATTATTATTAACTAGTAGTTTTACATATGCGTTGCACGAAATAGATATGTTATAATATGTAGTCTAAATGTTGCCACTCCCGTACGGTACGGGAGGGGCAATATATGTACCATTTTTAAAATTAAGGAGCAACATTTACACCACTAATAATTTAGGGGTGACATTGATAATTGACATATTAATGGAGAGACATAAATTACAATTTTTACTTATTTTCTTATAATATTAATTTTAGTATTAGTATATAAAAATTATATAATAAAAACTACATTTAAAATATTATTAACAACAACAAAATTAAATTTAAAAATAGACAAATGCTAAAGAATATAAGATAGAAAAATATTTAGTTTGAACAATAAAAAATTTGACTAACCTAATTTTGCTGACATTTACTTGCTAGCTAAAAGTCATTTGAAATTCTATAAATCTTTAAAAATCATCAAGATTCTATTTAGTAGTATTTTAAAGACAAACATTCATCTTTATTTGCAAAGATTAGAGATCTTCTCTCAATAATAAAATGAAATATATGAAATGAGGCCGAAATTGTACTTATTTGAATTAATGTCAATTTTAATATTCTAAATATATCGATTTTGTCATTTGTAATTTTCAACTTTACAATCAACCAAATTTGTTCCTCAAAGTAATAAGTTTTTGCCACTTTTTGTCCCTTGATAAATTTTTTTGAGATACGATCAAAAACGTTATTTCGTTATCCAATCACTCTAAATCATCCCATATTTAAAAAAAAAATAAAAAAATCTATATCATCCGAAATTGTTCAACCAAACATCACATCTTGAAATGTATTTTTGTTATGTTTTTTAATATGTGATCGTTTAAGTTTCTTTTTTCTTTGAATTTAGGATGCTTTTAAGGGGATTTGATAATGAAATTACATTTTTTATCATGTCTCAAACTACCAAAAAAAAAAAAAAAAAAAAAAAACGAAGCTAATATTTGGAAGATTAAAAATGATTGGTTTTGGGTTGTGGTCCAATGATATCAAGTTACTTCTTCATAAGGGTGGTTGTGGAATCGAGAGACGTGAGTAGTAAGATGAACATTAAAGTGACAAAGTCATTATATATACTTTTAGAATTAAAAATCGTATTAACTTAGTACAATAAAGATGTTATTAGTACATACATTTAATAATAA